ATGGGTTTATCTTTGTACTAATAGTACATTTGATCAATCAGTACTTTAAATGTGATCAATCAGTACTTTTAAAGTTGACCCAGTTTTCTGCCTGTGCTATATTGACTAGTTATTGGTCTGTTAATGATTTAGCCTCTAGGGGCAATCACCAATATTGCTGGTTCTCCGGTGCAGCCAGCGGATATCCGGTCCAGATTTCCTCTTCCATCTGCTGGTCATTGTTTTGAGTTAAATTAGCAAATTGAGAAAAGTTGGAGTTGAAAGAAAAAGTCTATAATCAGATTGTTCCAAAGAAGCCAGACAGATAAAAAGCAACATTTCTGTCTTCAAGTGATAGCTGGTTGGGTTCTGAGATTGCATTTCGGCCAATTAGTTCTTCCTCGTTTGCTCTCGACACTCACTGTTGAACACCATGCAACCAAAGCCAGCTACAAGCAACAAACTGAATATTTGTAACCTTGTGATTTGTATTGTGTGTATCATCTTTTGATACAGAACAACACACTAAATATGTATTTTTAATGAAATGACAAGTCCATTGTTTTCGGCAGGATGGTCACCATCAAACTTCAATGTCTGTTCCTCCTCCATTATTTTTGCTACAGATGAATTGGACATCCACAGCCTGCAGCTTCCCTCTTGAAGGGCTGCCAATGCTCTCTCAATAGCAATAGTTCAGTACCTGGCACATATCATAAGCCATCTGCAACTGCTTGTTCTGTAGCTGCCACTGACGAAGGCCATAAGTGCGTCCAACACGTCAGCATCCAAATTGCCGAACATTGGCATTAATATACAAAGTGATATTAGTGTGTGAAAAGGAAAAATATTGTGTTTATTTATGGGACATTGATAAAACAGTTGGGCACTGATGTTAATTTAATTGTAGAGTGTCATCTTTTAGTCCTAAACCTGCATTACACATTGTTTTTTACACATTCCCTGAATGAACAACAATGATTGAATCAGGCGTAGCGCTCTGTGCACCATCAGCTCCCTTAAAAGGTGCAGAATGATGTAGTGTAGCATGTCCATTCTCCCCAGAGATTACCGCTAATAAGAGGATTAGTATTTATAGAAGATCCCCCCCTTCGTGGATACCCCTAATCCTGCCTCACCCCTTTTCCTCCCTGCCCCATTGCTGTGCCTGGACTGTTCGCTCTCTGCAGTCCAACCTCGCCACATATCAGCCGAGGTAGAGACTAATTTAACACAGCACTGCTCAGATTCTTTTGAAAGAAGCGAACAATTGCTTGGCCTCTTTACTTGCTTGATGAGAGGGGGGCACTTTCAATCTTTCATACATTTCTTCATTGTCCAATTTTTCTTCCTCCTGCTCTATTTGACCTACAGCTAAGAAAACCAAACAACAATGTCCATCATGGAGCGTTTCGACTGCCATTACTGCAAGGCCTCCCTGCTGGGGAAGAAGTACATAATGAAAGAGGACACGCAGTACTGCACTAAGTGCTATGAGAACCTGTTTGCTAACTGCTGTGAGGGTTGCTCTTTGGCTATTGGCTGTGACTGCAAGGTAAGGAGGGGGATGGCTTTTGATAATAAGTAATGTCTAAAATAATAACGTATGCTATTTATTTACAATATCATCTAAGTGTGATTAATATTTTAATGTGTTTAAATCACATTTTGACCCTTGAAAAAACACAAACTCATTATTTCTACAAGAACGTCCTAATGAATATCCTATCTTACAGAGTTTCCACAAGTAAAATAAATAATGTGTTAAATATCAACAACAGGACATGTCCTACAAGGATCGCCACTGGCATGAGAAGTGTTTCAAATGTGCGAAGTGCAGCCGCTCTCTGGTGGAAAAGGCCTTTGCGGCTAAGGATGATTTGTTGCTCTGCACTGAATGCTACGCCAACGATTATTCTTCCAAGTGCACCAGCTGCAAGAAAACCGTCATGCCAGGTATAATGATGGCGATCAATAGGGTTGATGATGATAAATTATGTTGTCATTTTGTTATACAAGCACCTTAGTTCTGAAGGGGGCAAAAAAGCATAGAAGCATAAGTCTCTAAATGTCAAGCTATTCCTTTAATTACAGCATGATTGACTACACTGTGTGCTGATTAGTTTGCTAAACCTTTTGTCAGTACTCAGTGGTTATTGTAGCTATCTCAGTTAATTTAAACATCATTTGGACAATTTATCGTGTACGTGTACACGTGTGAGTGAATTAAGGTTAGTAAGAGACCGATATTGATTTAAAGAGTGAAGTTCAGGTGAGGGAAATTAGGTAATTAGGCAGGAGAGCAGGCAGGTAGCTGAATGGCTGGAAAACTAACGTGGCTGATTCAGAGCTTGTGCGTAAATGGGTAAAGGCGCAAAAGGCAGCACAGGAATACAGGAGAAAACACTCAGTCTAGTCTTTTAACAAAGGAAAAATATCTAAAAGTTGGGATTGAAAGTTTATTATTGACCGTGGAAACAGTTTATCACACAATCTTCCTCAGTCGATGGAGTTTGCCCAGTTGTAATGGAGATTCAGATGTTGACATTTCAAAAATGACTGAGTGCTTTAAGGACTTTCTAACAAATGTTGGCTTGTATATGTGTGGAAATAAGTGCAGAAATGAATTGCCTACAACTAATTAATATCTAGATATAAACAGTTAAAACCCTACAGTCATGCAATTTTTTCCTCACCAACAATTGTATCCAAGATAATTAAGATTGTCCACTTCCTACCCATGACGCAGGGCTATTTTGGGCACACTGTGCTTGTGTCATAGAGGTACCATATGCTGACTAAGCTGCTCTGCTCCCCTGTGCCAGGAGCCCGTAAAATGGAATACAAGGGGAACAGCTGGCATGAAACCTGCTTCATGTGCCACCGCTGCCAGCAGCCAATAGGAACCAAGTCCTTCATCCCAAAAGATAACGGCTACTTCTGTGTGCCCTGCTTCGAGAAGCAGTTTGCCTACCAGTGCTGTGCTTGTAAGAAGGTAAGGTTACATCTAATTGTAATTGACCGCTGCAGTCAATCCCCCTGACTGTTTTTAATCTAACACTCACATCGATATATATAGAGTATTTGGAGGATGAAACCCTCTTTAATGGTCTCACATACATGCACACAGTGACATTTGACCTCTGCATTTAACCCATCCTAGTACTAGGAGCAGTGTAAAAAAGGTGCATAGTGTCACTCTCACCCATGGATTTGTGTTACCTCCAGGCAATAACAACAGGTGGAGTGACCTACCAAGACAAACCCTGGCACCGTGAGTGTTTCCTGTGCATCAGCTGCAAGAAGCAGCTGCCCGGTCAGCGCTTCACCTCCAGGGAGAACTACCCCTACTGCCTCGAATGCTTCAGCAACCTCTATGCAAAGAAGTGTGTGGGCTGCACCAAGCCCATCACCAGTGAGTCATTGCTGTGCTCATGTTTTCATGCACTCTGACATGCAGTTTTCCTTACTCATAATCACAGCCTTTACATGCATTTGTGTAGGACTTGTCAGGTTACTAAGATGAAGATCTTGCATTAACCTGCACATCATACCATTCATGTATCTTTGCTTGATGTGTGCAGGTCTGGCAGGAGCCAAGTATATCTCTTTCGAGGAGCGCCAGTGGCACAGCGAGTGTTTCTCCTGCGTTGAGTGCTCCGTGTCGCTGGTGGGCCGCGGCTTCCTCACCCAGCGAGACAACATCTTGTGCACTGACTGCGGCAGGGAGAAGTGACCTTTCCATGAAAAGGTCACAGCTTTATCCTTAAACCAACAAGAGCTCCTGTTCTCCTTTGCATGCCTGGTCTATAAACAAACTCTAAATGTCAAGTGCTTATTTGGGTCATAAATTACCATTAGTTCTCTCACGTTGCCCACACACCAAAACTTGGCTGTCTCCATAAGGATAGACATATATCTTTAATGTTAGGCTGCCATTGCCCCACGGTTGAAGAATGTTCTCTTTGTTTGTTAAAATTAAAACTCTCAAAGAAATCTCAAACATGTGTTTGTTATAGATTCTTAGGAGTTAGGATTTTATGCTTTTTTTGTCTCGTATGACAGTAAACTGAATATCTTTGGATTTTGGTATGTGGATCGGATTTAAAAAAAAAAAAAAAAAAGGTTTTGAAGATGTCCCTTTGGACTTTGAGGCTCATTTTAATTATTATTATTATCTTACATTGAATGTACAAAATAATAATTTGCTGATTTATCCAACGATCAACAACATAATCACAAGTTTGATTCATGATGAAAAATAATTGTTAGTAGCACCCCCAAAATATGCTTTGCTTTTCCACAGGTCTGATTTTGATTACACATTTTTCTGCTGTTTACTTACTGTGATATGTTTACCTGGATCAATGTATTCACACTGCAGAAACATAACATTATGCATGATTTATGCTTCTTGGTTGTTCCAATAAAGACCTTCCTGTGGATATCATAGGCCTGCAGGTTCTCATTCTAATATTTCTTATTATGCTTCAAAGACACCATCCAGAGGAGTCTCTAGGTTAAGGATGGGCACAAAGTTCAACGTTACAAATATAGCTGTGATGGTAGGTTTGAAACCACGTCTTTTTACAACCATCACTATTCAGACAATCATTGCTGAAAACAAACCTCAAGTGTGTTTTTGTTGCCTCTTGACCTCATCACACCCAGCTCATTCATGTTGTCAACAAACCGAGATCGACCATATATGGTATGATCAGCTGATCACTTTCTCTTCTGCTTGTACATTATCTACTAACCAAAGACACCACTTTGTTCCATGCACAAGACAAAAATACATGTGACCGTAAATGTGGACACCTCAAAATATGTGTCTTCCTCAGCATAGTTTAGACACTTGTAAAAGTTGGTTTTCTTGGTGAAGCCGTTGAAAGAGTTGCGTAAGTGTCCTCACAGGGCAGGATGAGCGGCGTAAAAATGCTGACAGATTTCCTGTCAGGATTTAGTCACATGGGGAGGTGAGACTACTTTACACTTCACACACTTGTGGAGGAATCAAAGAGGAAGGGGGAACAGCAGAGAGGTAGGGACGTCTTATTTTATATATTTGACAGAAGATCTAAATCTTTAATATAGGCACATACATTTTTTATTTTACCTCACAAGAGTCAATCACACTTAAATATTTGCAATGGCTTTTAGAGCATTTAAACAAACACACGTTTTTGAAAAGCAATCAGCTCCAAAAGAAAAGGACAAATCCAGCATCCAGTGCATTGCGTGCTGTGACCCACATGTGTATATAGGGACCAAAGATGCAACAGTCCAGCATCTCATCCTTTCAAGGAGCACAGACCTGGGATCTGGCCAGAGCAAAACTAGAGAAGGTAGGGCAAGAAAACTGGGCTCAAGCAACCAAGTAACCCAACTGAGGGTAGTCCCACTTTACAACCATCTGCTGGTCCTGTGGGACCGGAGCATTACTGCCCTCAACATGTTCTCCTTAGAGCCCGTTCCTGGCCTGAAGAAGATCCAGCATGTGTCTTTGTTTGAGGTATGCGACTCGATGCCGTCAGCCCAGGCACAATGTGTGGAGATGGTGACTTCCTCCAGCCGCAGGAAGCTGATCCGGATCCACGTGGTGGGAGTGGACAGGTGGGACGTCGTAAAGGAAGTCCCACTGCTCTACGACCCTAGGGCCTTGGCAGTGGATGGCACCAGTGTGTGTGTAGCTACCAGCGACAGGTACCTTCTCTGTGATATCCGGACTGGGAGCAGCCAGGAGCTTTTTCCTCACAATCACAGCAGGCAGTGTGTCTTTGTTACCTCAGTGGGACGAGGGGAATTCCTCCTGAACGGGCCTGAATCTTTGGGTAAGCCAAATGTTTGTGGTACATGTTGTTCTGCAGGCTCTCTCTGACATTAAATGCTCCCTTTCCTGGACAGCAATACAGTTAATCATCTCATATCACTCTCCCATATTTCCATCTAGCCAGGGGATATTTATTCTGCCAAGTTCTCATTACTCCGTAATCCCTCAGGCATGTTTGTGATGAAGACGGGGACATGCCAGCGCCCCCCCCTGCAGTGGCCTCAGGAGGTGTTGGCAGCCGGAGTGTGTTTCCCCTACATCCTGACCCTACAGCCCCAAGTACTGTCGGTCTACAGCATGGTGGACCAACAGCAAAAACAGACTGTGAGTCTCACTGGAGCAAAGGGACTACTTTCCACTACAGGTAAACCAGACAACATCATTTCAACACCCAATCCTGGCATATTGCAAACTGAGAAGCTGTCAAATTGTGGCTTTGTTTTTGAAGATGTCGCCGTGTCTGTCTCAGTTTGCACTGAATCAGTCAATCATCCTTGCACCTACTTTTCCTACTCGCTGAGTGTCTCTGAAACCCCAAAACAAATCTCCCCTCAGATGGTGTTCTAGTGTTCACAGAGAGAGACATTTTCAGCCTGCGCCTGGTGCCAATCGAAGAGCAGATCCAGGCACTTGTTAGGCATGAAAGGATCGAGGAGGCCTTACTGCTGCTGGATGGAGTTCAAGGGTATTGTCCACTTGACTCATACAAGGTGAACTTCAATGAAATGACAAAGACATATTTATAGTGTTTCTCCTTTCTTCTGTCCTTTATTTTGTATTGGTTTAGCTCTCTATAGGACCCAAGAGCATACAAAAGCAGGTGTTTATTAGATTTAGTGTAATGCACTTAAAGGTCACCTATTATGCAAAATCCACTTGTTCATGTCTTTTATACATAAACATGTGTCCCCTCTGTGTAAAGAGATTCTGAAAGTGTCAGGAAAAAAGATTCCCTCTATTTTTGTCCTGATCCATTTCTATAAAAACCGGTCTGAAAATGAGCTGATCAGATTTTGGCCACTTTATGATGTCATAACGATTTGTTTGGCTTGTGTAACCATTAGCCAATCACCAACCAAGGTAACCCCCCCCCCCCCCACTTTATCACCTGAATCTCCTCCTAGAGCACCATTGTGTTATTTTTTAACCAAATATCTCTCAGAGGGGCGTGGGGAGTGGCTCCTTATTTTCATCTAAAGTAACAGACAGATAATCTGCACTTTTGAAACAGGGCTGAAACAGAGGGGTTTATGGGATGCTACAATACACGATCTGTTTGGTATTTCGAGCCAAACACTTCACAGACATGTTTTGTATATATCTGAGACCTATAATATATTGATGACAAACAGTATAATAGGGGACCTTTAAGAGGAGATGAGATTACTTAAACCAAAAAGGAGATGGCTTGGCCGTTGGTGAACTTAGGTTGCGAAGGGCAGTATCAGGATTAAGCAGAAAGGAAGGCTGGTATCCTAAAGCACAGGAGACCAAACTACATGTATTCAAGTGTTATACATGAGGGAACTAACTGAGAATATTCAATTGGAAAATGAGCCTGGGATTAGCTACCACAATAACATAAACAACAATCTGGCACTGAATGTGTGAAAAGGAGGGGTTGAGTTACTGGAGAGGTGATGAGAGAATCAGCTTTGCAATCAGGGAGCCTGGAGAGTTCGGCAAGGAACACAATAACACACAGAGAAAACAGAGGAGCACATGGAACACAAAAGCCCGCAAACACAGAGAAACAAAGGGAATGTTTGATCAATCCAGTTGAAATATTTTTCCCAAAACTACAAACGTCAAATGTATAGTTAAAAAATGACATGGGATCACCAAATTCACAAGCATAACTGGTCAGGGAACCATAACTGTCTCTATACACTACTGTGTAAATTGTGTGCCGATCCATGTTCAAGATGTTGAAATATCTCCAAGGATAAGTAAAAACTTGGAACTGGTTGGATTTTTCCTCTTGGGAACATGAATGTCTGAATTAAATGGCAGTCGATCCAGCATTGCAAGAAGTATTTCAGTCTGGATGAACATTTAAATTGTGAGTGTGCTGTAGGCCTACTAGATTAAAAAGGCTTGGATTACCAAATGTTGCTAAAAGCTAACTTTAAGAGCTTAGTCACCTTTTATAATGTCCAAACATATAATATATAGGTTGTTTCTATTAGAGGAATATCTATTTTACTCCAAAACACTTGCCTAAGAAACAATTTAAATGATATCTCGACTTTTTCTGCATACTTTCAGTGCTGCTACAATTTCCTACACATCACTGAAGAACAGATTACACTAGGATCCAAAGGGGTAGAGAGACTACATTGTTGCCTGCTGATACTGTAGGTGTATCCCAGCTGGATGAATGCACCTGATGGTGTTGAAGATTTAGTGCAGTGTGTGCCAGGTAACAGGTTAGAGGGGAGGATGTTGGAATTTAAAAAGTGATGAGTCAGTCCTTATCATTGGCCTGGTTTTGTGATTTTTTCATTTACTAATTGCAACAGATTGCCCTCATTATTTAAAGACAGTTTTTCTCCTCAATGATTACGGCAATATTTAAATATGTCATGCCAATTATGTGCCTAGTTTTATGTTACCATTCTTTTTTTCCTGGCAGGAGCTGCTGAAGGCCATCACTTGCCTGGCTGGGTTTGTTCATTTTTACCAGGAGGGTTTTTCCGAGGCCAAAGATCTATTCATGTGAGAATAAAAACCCTTACACGACACTCGAAATTCAAAGCATGCACGCTCAATAAATCAGAACACACTGTGCAGTAATAAGTGGATTTTGTGAATACTGGCTCTTTTCTACAAAATGAGATCCAACAAAAAGCAATACTCATTACCTTCTTGAACAGTACAGGTGAGCTTGACCCCAGAGAAATCATCCACCTCTACCCCGACATGCAGTCGTGTCTCAGCGAAGACTTTCAATCCCAGCTCGATCAGCCGAACAAGGGCAGAGATCTCCAGGTGCTCTGGCAGGGAGACAGGAGCACATTTCATCATTACCTAGCCTTCCTGGGAGATTTTCTCAGAGCAGTAAAGGGGACTGAGCTCGGCCTGAGGTGCAGTAAGGAGGTGGACTGCGCCCTCCTGAGGCTGTACGTAGAACTGGGAGACTCTGAAAATCTGCAGCAGCTTGTGGCATTAGCCAATGAGTGCAGGCTGGACCAGTGTGTTCCTGTATTGGAGCAGCACAACAGGTAAAACATGATCATTTGTTGAGTAGATGATGTGATAGTATGGATGTGTTTTTTTTGTTAAATTACCAATTATTTTTGAATAAAACAGGCATACAGACATTGTGTCTAATTTATGGACCATTTGCTGTTTGATCTCTTTTTATATACAGATTATTTGCATTAGGTTCCCTCTATCAAAGCCATGGAAATCTAATTAATGCAATTAAGGTATTGTTTCCCCATAAACGTATTCAATTTATTGACAATTTATTGGCATTAATTAACATGTTTTGCCTGTTTTTTGCTTCCAGACTTGGGTGAAAATTGCAGATGGCTTCCACAAAGACCCCTCTTGCTCAGATGTATACGGACACATAGTTCGGACTCTCAGTCAACTGCAGGACAAAGATGTTGTGTGGACATTTTCAGACTGGACTCTTCAAAAAAACCAGGAGGTGCCTTTGTCATGCTTTCAACTTAACAGCAGAGGGCAGAGTTGCTATGCAATAAAACTATGTGTTACAGCTTTAAACACACAGCAAAATACCATCCATTAACCACATTGATTTACTTATACAACAATGACTGCTAATGAAATGTCTTATAACAGCCTTTCTTTATCTGAAAAAGATAGGGGTGCAGATCTTCATCAAGCGTCCACCAGATGACCGATTTGAGACACAAGACGTCCTTGCTCTCTTGGAGAAAAACCCGCTGGCGATGCTTTTGTACCTTGAGTTTTTAATCTACGATTTAAACAGTGAGGTATGTACAGCAGCAGCCAGATTATCTAATATCACTCCTTTATTAAATACACTGAGACATAATTGGTGTAATCTGCCCCCAGGAGAGTAGACATCACAACCGTCTGGCCCTGGCATATGTTACTGAGATGCTACAGGAGGAAGAGGAAGCAGATTTGAGGAAGACCAGAGGGAAGTTGCAGCAGCTGCTCTGGGAATCCAAATTCTATGACGTCTCCACTGTATATGGTGTGAAGGGTGCCGTATGAGTAAATAAACTCATAATGGAAATGTTATCTCATAAGATAATGAATTGCTACTAAATTATATTGCATTATTCTCGTTGCAGAGAGAGTTAAGTCAGCAAACTTGCACATGGAGGAAGCCATTCTCCTGGGTAGGGCTGGTGAACACTCCCAGGCTCTGAAGGTGCTTGTTCACCAGGAAGGAGACTTCCAGGCTGCAGAGGCCTTCTGCTGCCGGGCCGCCCAGGGCCGGGACCCCCAGCTCAGACAGACCCTGCTGCTCACCCTGCTCCAAATCTACCTGAGCTCAGAAGACCTCACTAGCGCTGCCGTGGATCTGCTGAACCACAACCCTCTGGTCTTTCCAGCAGAGCAGATCATCCAGCTGCTGCCTGACTCCTGGTCTGTTCAACTGGTCTCTCAGTTCTTAGTGAGATCCCTCAGAGAGACCTTCCACCAGAGGCGGATGTCGAGGGTGCAAAAGGCTTTGGGCCAAGCAGAGCTCATGCGGCACAAGGTCATATGGGTAAGTTAATGACTATTTCACATATTTTTTGCTCCATAATTGTGTTTATTCTTGTTGCCTTTTTTCCTAACCCTGTTGCTTTTTATCTCGCTTCCATGCAGATGCAGGCCTCAAAAACAACATTCAGACTAGACAAGGGGCAAAAGTGTAAGGTTTGTCAGAGAGAGCTCGCAGAGCCACAGTTTGTCTGTAACCTCCATGGTGACCTGATGCATACAAACTGCACTGACTTCACATCATCTTAAGAACTCAGATACAGCAATTTATTGTCTGCGTGTGCAATTAAGTGCATTTCTGCTCTCTGGAGAATCACATTCATTTCAAGTTGGATAAGTGTCTGCTTCCTACCTGATTATTTTTGTAGATTACACTGTGTCACAAACTTTGTGTACAAGGATTCAATTCATGGATGTTGGACCAGACACTTTCCATGATTAGAAAAAAGAAAATACATTGTGTAAATAACTGGTTTCAGAACGCAAAAGAGCAAGCAATGCACTTTTTTAGGGCGGCATGTCTGAGCCATTTCCTAGAGACATTGTAGACAGCAATAGCTCTGAAGTGGAGGACACTCAGGGACATATATTCACTGATCAGACAGTGGTGTTTAACATGGAAACCACCCGTGGTCAACCTGATGCCCAGAGGGAATTGGACCATCCTCTAAGGCTGTATGCATTCCCCGCCATCACAGTTTCCACTGACTGTGTATATTTGTCTGCATAAAGCTGGAAATAGAAGGTCAACATAAAAGAGGCAGCACGTGTTTTTATTCTGTTCTCTGCATTGATATACATTTATGAGCAAACAAATAAAATCACAATTATAGGCTTAAAAATGAAAAGCAAATAGGTTAAGGAAGTGTAGAGTTTTGGGTCTTTTCCCTTCATTTTACAGGCGACCCTAATGACAGGTCTGTGCTGTGTATGGAACATTAAATCAATTTTTACCAACATCATCCCTATGTTCAAATAATAACACACTAACTCCAGTGTGTCCACAAGTGCAGTATGGAAATCTTTTATATAAACTTAAACACATATTATTAAGTTGTATGCCATTTAAGATGTATTTGTCTATTTTTGTTGTAATTTAGTCATTAAGGCTAACCATAGCTCAGCATTTTGGGACAGGAGTAAGGGGAGACGCCTAAAGGAGCTGCAACAGTAACTTGTGCATTTAGCTTGACTGATTGCAAGTTTTTGGTGCATGTTTTTGGCCATGTGCGTGTGACTAATTACAGTGCAGATAATAGTGAATTATGAGTATGTTGGAAGGGATTATCTCTGAGTGATGCTTTTGCCAAGTTTTCTTCAGTTTTCCTCTCCTAATGAGGTTTTTGTGGGACTTTTTTTATTGTTCTGACTGAGTATCTGAGATTTGTGCTCATTTAATGTTGCATAGGGTGTGTTGAAACTCTCTGAGCGTTTAACTAAGGCTTAAAAGGATACACTTGAATTAAACTTTGACTTGAAAATTCTCACTTGGAGTGTATAAGTGTAACCTCTGACTCATATAAATAAACTCTGATCCCAGAAAATCCAAGAAAACCACAAACCTAGCCTTTCCTCTTTTATGTGGCTGCGTGAAGAATTGCCATGTCCTCCCTTCCATATCGCCGCCTTGTAATTTCAATCATCTGTGCATTTACTTTAAATCCCATTGTAAGCACTGCTGGATAAAGTGAAAAGTATCAGTGCAGAGGAACACACCAACTTCTTTCTGATCTGGTTAGAGATGTGAAGCAGTTTCTCACTCACGGTGTGACTGTGAGGGGCTGCTGCTCTGTGACTGGCTGCTCTTTGGGCCGTGCCCGATGACCAGTGACCACTGAGAGGACCCAAAAGGATCATGTCCTCTCTTTCCCTCTCATGGTCAACCTTAGGGGGCATTAATGTTGTTGGGAACACGTGTGGTTATGCTGTGGCTTAAAACAAACGTTTGTCTCATCTTTGATATTACAGCCAAAAGCCACCAAAAGGTAAAAATACAAGGGCACAAGTACAAGTCTTAAATCTAAATTAAGATTAGAAAACCTTTAAACTGATTCTGGGTTCAGTGCCTGAGTGGGCCGGGTCACTGCAGTGCAGGCTGCTCTGAGGTCCAGGTGGACATTTTGCACATGAGGGGAAATGGATTGGCTGCAAAAATGAACAGTTATGGAGGAAAAGATGGTGGGGTATCCAGACATTGGTCTCCCATTATAAATACACATTTCACCACAGAAGGAAAATAAGAACATTTTCTTCTTGTGCTCTTCTAAAATTAAGACAAAATGTCGTCTGTCTGGACTGTAGGATGTTATTGTTTACATGTTAACATAGTTGTGTTTTATATGGACTGGGGGGAAAGACATTTATGAGATGCAGAGGGTTTTTTCTTCGTCCATTTGGCCTATGGAAAATGGATACTTCTCTAACAACTCACAAAAAACCCTCAAACAAACATGTTTAATATTGTTTTTTCAGCTTGGTAGTTTGTGACTTTTGCCACATTTATGAAAGATACTTATAAATAGGATTTGTATCTGATGACCTGTAACCGGAAGTCTTTAAAGGACTGCAGTTGTAAAACCTGGCTAAATCCAAATAGATTTGTATAACCTACATTATATCTGTGATTTGTTCTGGTAGTAATTTTCTAGCCCTGAATTAATATTTTTTGATTCTCTAATTGGAGTTTTATAATAGTGTACTCATACGACGTCTAAAAAGGGAAAAGGAGGGTCTAATTGACCTTAATGTCACAGTGAAGAAAGATAATTAAGTTTTAGCAAACAAGATAATATATATTTTAACATCTTTACCCCACATATATCCTATCAAATGCAAAACTATATCCTATCAGATGTGAAACCTTTATAATTTTCTTCACATTAGGTTCAAATAAGATCAGAAGAAAAATAATGAGATATTGAAAAGGACAAATGTTTGATGTGGCAAGTACAGTGGGGCAACAAAGTATTTAGTCAGCCACCAATTGTGCAAGTTCTCCCACTTAAAAGGATGAGAGGCCTGTAATTTTCATCCTAGGTACACTTCAACTATGAGAGACAGAATGGGGGGAAAGAATCCAGGAAATCACATTGTAGGATTTTTAATGAATTAATTGGTAAATTCCTCGGTAAAATAAGTATTTGGTCACCTACAAACAAACAAGATTTATGGCTCTCACAGACCTGTAACTTCTTCTTTAAGAGCCTCCTCTGTCCTCCACTCGTTAACTGTATTAATGGCACTTGTTTGAACTCGTTATCAGTATAAAAGACACCTGTCCACAACCTCAAACAGTCACACTCCAAACTCCACTATGGCCAAGACCAAAGAGCTGTCAAAGGACACCAGAAACACAATTGTAGACCTGCACCAGGCTGGGAAGACTGAATCTGCAATAGGTAAGCAGCTTGGTGTGAAGAAATCAACTGTGGGAGCAATTATTAGAAAATGGAAGACATACAAGACCACTGATAATCTCCCTCATTCTGGGGCTCTACGCAAGATCTCACCCCGTGGGGTCAAAATGATCACAAGAACGGTGAGAAAAAATCCCAGAACCACACGGGGGGACCGAGTCAATGACCTGCAGAGAGCTGGGACCAAAGTAACAAAGGCTACCATCAGTAACACACTACGCCGCCAGGGACTCAAATCCTGCAGTGCCAGACGTGTCCCCCTGCTTAAGCCAGTACATGTCCAGGCCCGTCTGAAGTTTGCTAGAGAGCATTTAGATGATCCAGAAGAGGATTGGGAGAATGTCATATGGTCAGATTAAACCAAAATAGAACTTTTTGGTAAAAACTCAACTAGACGTGTTTGGAGGAGAAATAATGCTGAGTTGCATCCAAAGATACCATACCTACTGTAAAACATGGGGGTGGAAATATCATGCTTCGGGGCTGTTTTTCTGCAAAGGGACCAGGACGACTGATCTGTGTAAAGGAAAGAATGAATGGGGCCATGTATCGTGAGATTTTGAGTGACAACCTCCTTCCATCAGCAAGGGCATTGAAGATGAAACGTGGCTGGGTCTTTCAGCATGACAATGATCCCAAACACACCGCCCGGGCAACGAAGGAGTGGCTTCGTAAGAAGCATTTCAAGGTCCTGGAGTGGCCTAGCCAGTCTCCAGATCTCAACCCCATAGAAAATCTTTGGAGGGAGTTGAAAGTCTGTGTTGCCCAGCGACAGCCCCAAAACATCACTACTCTAGAGGAGATCTGCATGGAGGAATGGGCCAAAATACCAGCAACAGTGTGTGAAAACCTTGTGAAGACTTACAGAAAACGTTTGACCTCTGTCATTGCCAACAAAGGGTATATAACAAAGTATTGAGATGAACTTTTGTTATTAATACTTATTTTCCACCATAATTTGCAAATAAATTCTTTAAAAATCAGACAATGTGATTTTCTGGATTTGTTTTCCCCATTCTGTCTCTCATAGTTGAAGTGTACCTAGGATGAAAATTACAGGCCTCTCTCATCTTTTTAAGTGGGAGAACTTGGTGGCTGACTAAATACTTTTTTGTCCCACTGTATATGAGAGTGAGGTCTGTGGGATCCTAAAAATGGAAGAAAAGTAAACGTCACCGAAATGCAAAGGTTTAAATGTGTTTTTCTTTTATATTTAATATCTTCAAGTCAATTATTTCTCATAAAAATACATGAAGATATATTTTCCACACTAAAAAAGACGATATTGCCTCAAGATTATGACAGTTTCAGAAGGTATCACAAAATAAAGCATACAAGAAAGATGAATTCACAATGCTTCTCTTTGTATCATATTTATAGTCGAAGCCACAAATTACTGTATCATGTCCCTGATGACGCATTTTTCAGTCCCTTAGTGGTTGCCATGAGACAAAGGGAATCTTAATTTGGTAGCAATAATGGTAACGTAGCAGAAAACCTAAACGATTGAACTTTAATTCCCACTGTCACCAGCAAATATAATTCTATAGATATAGAAGAAGAAGTATGGGACTAAATATAGCTGAGGAGGATGATCAAAACATGTCTTTTTTTAACTCAGAGCAACGCTCTCATTTTCATGGTTTGCTACCTTGGGGTTTGGAAGGGTGCCCCAGGGAGAAATGTGTAGGGTGGCCCACTGGAGACACAGAGGCAGAGAGGGAGACCACAGACACCCACCCTGCCCTGAAGCGAGGGGCGTGGGTTATATACATCAGACTGTGTGCTATAGAGGGGTGTCACCATGTCTACAGGCAAAATATTGTTCACTCTTCATCTCTTTCAGGGCTCAAAACTGTTTTTTCTGACTGGGTATTTTGAGTAAGATATGATATGTTTTAATTGTGTGCATAACTGGCTTTTAATACTAGTTGAACATAACATGTTTACATTTGTATGTGTTTTTATATGTTTCTTTGTTGTGCTTTTTTATCATGTTTTGAATTATTGTTTTATTATTTTACTCCCATTGTATTTTATATTGTATGTATTCCCTGTACAGCACTTTGGTCAACTGAGGTTGTTTTAAATGTGCTATATAAATAAATAAAGATTGAGATTGAGATAACTGTCACTTTTAGAATAAATATCAGTAGAGCAAACATAGGATTTACAGGTTTGATTCCTTAATAGGCTAATTATATTATAACAGACATGAGTAATGTGTTTAAGTTATAAAGGGTAGGGGTGGTCAGAAATAGGTTTTATTTTTCCTTAAGATTTCTTGTCAGTTTATTGTATAATCATATTTGAATTTAGCAATCCCTTGTAATATGTATAATGATGA